GGTGGTCCATGATGATCGGTGGTGTGCAAGCAAAAGCAAGGATAGAAACAAACACCGACCACGAATCTCCTAAAATACGGATGTATGTTATCCGGACTCGATTTCGTGCAAGCCAGCTTGCACAAAAATATTTACCGACCAGGCCCTTACAGTGTTGTAACGACTTCACCCCGACCCCAAAAATTCAATTCAAACTATTCTTCGAAATAAACATCATTATTTAAATCACATAAAAAACTACAGATACAATCTATTGGATGCCAAGCGCCTGGAGTACAAATTTGTCGCCAAAAAATACCTCGAAACTTGAACCACTCAAATAATAGTACACCACATACTCAAATCTTATAAAATTTGAATTTACCGCCATGGAGGATCAAGTCAAACGCACGCACCGGGAGCTATCGAGGGATGAAAAAGTGGCGGTCATCCAACACCTTCATCCCTTTCTCGTCAAGGGCAAACTGCAGCGCGGTGCGTACAAGCAAGTCGCTGAGAAACTGAGTCTGAGCCCCCGCACCGTCGGCTATATCTGACGCAAATTTTGCGACCGCGGCACCACGTCCAACAAAAAGCGTGGAAGCTTTGGACCCAAACCAAACTACACGGCCCAGTACGTCCGTGAACTCGTTCAAACAGCCCCAGTCGAACAGCGCTCAACTTTCAGGGACCTTGCCGCCGCCACCGGTCTCTCGCCTGCCACGTTAAATCGCCACCTCAAGAGAGGAATATTCGAGCAACGTTCAACCCGACCCCGATGAGACCATTGAATTCGACGGCCTATGGGACGTCGTGCATCTTGATGAGAAATGGTTCAACACAGACAAAAACCATCACAAAGGTCTACCTCGTCCCTGGTGAAGCGCCACCTCGGCGCTCTTGGAAAATCAAGCGCTTCATTCCAAAGATCATGTTCCTTTGTGCTGTTGGACGACCACGGATTGATGACGAACGGGGTGTGTGGTTCAGTGGCAAGATTCGATCGTGGCCATTCGTGCAACATGTCCCGGCTCTTCGCAACTCGCGCAATCGCCCGTCTGGGACTATGGTCACCAAGTTGGTCAATTGTTGGTCAATGTTGACGCCGCTGTATATCGGGACTTCGTCATCAACAAGGTCATACCTGTCATCAAGGTTTCATTCCCCAGTGCGTCGAAGCACGTTCTTCTGCAACACGACAACGCGCTTCCATATGGAAGCATCACGGACGCTGTGCTCGAAGGCGTGTCGACTGACGGGTGGTCGTTCAAGATTCGCAAACAACCGCCCAATAGTCCCGATTTGAATGTATTGGACCTGGGATTTTTCGCGTCCATACAAAGCCTGCAATACAAGAAGATGAGTCGGACTGTGGATGACGTCGTCCGCAACACCATGGAGGCATATGGCGAGCTGAAGTACGACAAGCTGGAGGCCGTGTTCCTCACCTTCCAAGCAGTGATGCGCATGGTCCTCGAGCACGGTGGCGACAACCACTTCGCTTTGCCACACCTCAAGAAGGCGGCCTTGAAACGTGCTGGTCTCCTAATGTCGAATGTTTCCTGCCCTGTGTCGCAGCTTTTGTAGGCTAGGAATTTTTTACCAATAAGTCACAGTTATCCTACATGATCCATAGTTTTTATTTGTTCACAGTAATGTGGAAAAAGTGAGTATTCCGAATCGTAACAGTACAGTAATGTGAAACAGAGGAAGTACTCCCTCTGTCCCACAATACTTGCGAAGTTTCCAGGAGGGGGAAATGACACGTCAGTATATTCGCAAATGATTTTCAAACTATAATGTCGTCTGCCATTATTCGAATTTCACGTGTTTCATTGGTCCATGTGAAATTGCGCGCCGAGTCCTGTCAAGCCATGTGCCAGCGAGGGAAAAACACAGTCAAACCATCACAAAAAATGTTCGCAAAGTTTGTATACATTAAATCATATAAAAGCAGTGACCAACATTCGAAATGCGGGTCAAGAAGCGTGACCTGACGAACGAAGACCGCGAGGTCATCCTTCGGGAGATTCTGCTTCAAAGCAGTACGAAATCGTTGGCTCGACTT